GGGAACGACACGAAATGATCGAGAAGAGCTTGAGAATGGATTAATGTTGATTTTTGATATATTGAAGGAATTTCTTAAGCAACATCCACCGTCATTTCAAGGAACTACCAAATCACTAGAAGCTAAAAAATGGTTACAATAAGTTAAAAAGGTGGTGGATGCTATGGATATAGCTCAAAGCTATAGAGTAGGATTGGCTACATATTTGTTTGAAGGAGACTGACCATTGATGGGATTTTATTAAAGGGAGAGATCTATTGTAAGGCATGACTGGGGAAAGATTTGAGATGGTTTTCAATGGAAAGTATTTTATTAAGAGAGTTAGAGACGGGTGTCAAACGTGTCGGGTTAAACAGGTGACAGACGAAAAACACGTAAACCCGTACACGACATGGTTTAATAAACGAGTAAAAAATCTAAACACGAACACAAACCGTTTAATAAACGAGTAACATGACACGACTCGTTTAACAAGTCTAATTTTAAACGAGTCGAGTTGGATAGGGTCAGGTTAACACGGTAAACCACCTGTTTGATCCATTTACCTGTTTATTTAAAAATGCTATATAATTTTATAAAACTAACATAAATAAATGTGATATTTAGATATACCACACCATATTACAAAGTACAAACTACAATCCAAAATAACCAAATTCCACCAACAACCATATTACAATTCATAAATACAATCTGAAATAATACAATTACACCAAATAACAATCATATTACGAACCACAATCCCAAATAATCACAAATTCTATGATTCACAAAATCCCATGAAAGAGATCAAATCTCCACCTTCACGACAACAAACAAATTCAACAATCAAATTATTAATGATATATATATGAAATATTATATAACATTAATAATTAAATAGACTCATAACTAGATAAGTAACAAAAACTTTGCATTACGAGCTACATATTTCAATACCTCTCTTTAGTCATGATCAATGATAGATAATAGAATTAGAACATTAAGCGGATTTAGCTTTATTAGACTTCATATTTTAATTGAAAACATCATCATCTATTTTCCCTTCCGAATCATTACTAGAATCATTTACAACTAAGCACAACAAAACATAAATGAATCAATGATCACATGAATTAAGATAAGGAGAAAAATAATACTAGTAAAAATGGAATCAAACTTATTACCCTTTCCATGAATCCAATCTCTAGTGCAAATCAAAACTTGGATAGTTTCTGGCAAAAGTAATTTCAATACTTATTCAAAACTCTACCACCGGTACTAAATGCAAATTCAGATGCTACTATAGAAATAAGAATTATCATCACATTACAAGCCAACCGTGAAAATATAGGATGCCAAAACTGATTTTCTTTTCAAAAGGTTAGAATATTCAAGTCCTTCTTTCGATTAAGCCTTTTTTCATTAAAATACAACTGCAACTTAATTACTTCCGAAATAATAGAATCTTCTTTTTCACGTTTTTAAAAATCCTACATTTTGTATAAAATCATTACGAATATACGATAAACTATCTTGATTGCATTCAATTCAAACAAACTAAATTATATTTTACCTGAAAAAGACTTTCGAAATCATTAAGACCATGAGTCTTGCTTACGTACTTGGAACAACGTTTGTTTAAGGCAAAAAAATAGAGTTAAACTGATATCACCCCTCAATACACACAACACATAAACTGATACATACCTACATACACACCCACCCCTGATCTTCCTTGTATTTTCTTAGCAACCCAGAATACACAACACCAGAATAGAATCCATAATAGGTCTACCCATAATAGAATTTGATGAGTCTAATGGGTCTACCCATTGATCACTAAAATCAATTAAAAATCAACCCAAATCCATTAACCCTATATAAATTTTGTTTTAGATTCACAAATCTTCTATAAAATTGACTGGCCTAGTTTAAACAATTTCCTGTTAACAAAAAAAAGGAAAAGAATACATATGTATGACTTCTGTCAATGATGAAGAGCAAGGCCCATTCCATAAAATTTTGGGAGCAAGAGAATATTTATCCCACAACCAGAATAGAATTTGATGAGTCTAATGGGTCTACCCATTTATCACTAAAATTCATTAAAAATCAACCCAAATCCATTAACCCTATATAAATTTTGTTTTAGATTCACAAACCTTCTATAAAATTGATTGGCCTAGTTTAAACAATTTCCCATTAACAAAAAAAAAAGTACTTATATATGCTTCTCTCAATGATGAAGAGCAAGGCCAATCCCATAAAATTTTGGGAGCAAGAGAATATTTATCCCAGCAATTGATAACATATACTTGGAGCCAAACAAACTAAATGGTCCAAAAATTTAAACAGAAAAAGTGCAGAATGTGGGTGACGTCTAATATCTGAACAGTGAGAAGGATTTAGCAAGAGGGAAACGTCTAAGATCTTAAATGTGTAAATCGAAAAGGATTTGCCTATTTTCACATGTCTGGGATCTAAAATGTCTTGGCTTGAAGTCTCCATGGTTGGCGACTTAGCCTGGCCCAAGAGTCCAAGACACCAACTGCTCGTAGCTTGCTAAGTTACTGTCGAGCAAGAGAGAGGTCTCTATGGTCAGCGACTTAGCTTGGCCCAAGAGTCCAAGACACCAACTGCTTGCAGCTAGCTGAGTTGTTATCGGGCAAGAGAGAGAGAGAGGAACAGAAGAGTGGAGGTGCCTTTAGCCGTTTAACATATAAAGAATTAGATTAGAGTTAGAAACTTTATATATTTTTTGTGTGGCTGTCATTAAAAAAATTTCTAGTTAATTTTTTAGAAATAATTATTAATTTATTATTATATTAATTTTATTTAAACGGTTAAACGAGTTATAAAAAGGTTGACATGTCTCACCCGAATACAACCCATTTATTAAACGTGTTAAACGGGTCAACTCGTTTGTTACCTAAACCCGTTAAGTTTGCATCCAAACTCGCTTAATCCGTATCGTTTCATATCGGTTAATCGTGTCGTGTTAGATTTTGACAGACCTAGTTAGAGATGATTTATTTTAAAATTCTTGAATTTGCAATAGGGTGGAATGAGTGTTGTTCAATATGAGACACGTTTTGAGGAGTTAGCACATCATGCTGGGAAATATATAGCTAATGAAGTCAAAAAGACAAAATGGAACTTTAGTGAATTTGGGGAAGTGGCGTATATAATAGAAAAAGAGATTAGGCTGGAAAAAGTATGAATTGGGGAAGTGGCATATATAATAGAAAAAGAGATTAAGCGGGAAAAAGTATGAAGTGCACAAGCTCAACAACGAGGTAATCAACCATATGGATATGATGGAGGACAGAGGAATCATGCATACATATGATCTAGTTATAACAATAATGGTAAGAATAAGGTAAGCAATTGATATGAAGGTGGTAATAATACAAGGGATGGTCGTGCTTGTTTTCAATGTGAAAAGACAAGGCATATGAGGAACATATGTCCATAGTTATACTTGTAGTTTCAGCAATACGAGGGATCACAACCACCAGCGATGCAAGGACAAACGACATCACAAAACAAATCTGGTGGGGATCAAGAGAATTTAAGATATGAACAAGTGTATCAAATGACAGCGCGTCAAGACACTTAATAGTGTGAGGTTGGTATTCTAATCTTAAGAACTACTTATATCGAAGTTGATATGTACTATTAGAATATAATTGTGAATTAGAATAAATTTCGAGGACAAAATCTCTTTTAAGGTGAGTAGATTGTAATTACCTGGTGTACGGTGATCGAGAATTGGATCAAAAATAGGGTGTCTATGTGTGTGATTAAGGGTTCGAGGATCAGACAACTAGACAAAGAATTGATAACCGGGAGTGTGTATGAGGAATTCTGGTGATGAGTGGGGTGTTAGGATTTAAGTTAAAAGTGTGTTAGGTGAAGAGAGAGGAAGCCGGAACGCAGGTTTAGAGGAGATAGGTTTAGCACAAGAATTAGGCGTGCAAAAGTGTTACTTGAGATGAAATTAGATATTCAATTAAACTCCAAAAATTGCATGAAAAATTTTCTAGGGTGTTTTTAATATGTAAGTATAGTATATATAATTAAAAATGTGCACAAATATATATATATATATATATATTTATAAATGTAAATATACGTGCACGTCAAGTAAGAAGACGAAATTTTTGTGGGTACTTTGTAATCTTAGCTATTTTTTTGGGAAAATTTGAATACTCCTATGAGTGATACTAATATGTTTTTTATCTTTCAACGAGCCTTCCCTCCCTTGTATTTGGTAAGAGAGATGAAATATCAATTTTTTTTTTTTTTTGTGCTTACCAAGATAAAAAAAATATTTTATATTTATATATGAAATTAATGTATACATAACATGTACTTGATATATCAAATGATATATAGGCAAAGAATAATACTATTGAAACCTAATTTACTAACTTAATTTACTCTAACCATTAGATTGACTATATGTTCCATTAAATATTAGAACTTAATGTTGATCAAAGTATTCATATGAAACCACATCATTATGTCAGTAAATTAAACTAAATATTTAAATCAAAATAGTATTACTCATAGACAAATAACATACATTTCAACAATCATAATTAAATTTTCATCAACTTTTTTATCATTATTTGTTTCTTCTTTATTAAATATTTCCATCGCACATAGTCATATAGGGTTAAAGCAAGGTGTACAATTATGGTATTAATTTTATTTTTATCAATAATAACTATTAGTTTTTTCCTTCCGTAATAATAACTATTAGTTTTAAATTAGATGTTTTACCAGAATATTGATTGAAAAAATAATAATTAATAAAAAAATATGCACATAATATTTTTATTAATTAAAAATAAAAATACAATTATAAAAAAATACTTTTTGATTTTAGTCAAATCCAGACTATCGGAAAACACAGACCAATTTACTGTTGGTTTATCCAAAAAAGAGCCAATATATATCCAACTCCTCTCTCTCTAAGCTCATCGTCATCGGGACCCCCAAAAGCTGCCCCAAAGTTTCGGCTCTCCCCTTAACTAAGTGGCCGTTTTTTTACCGTCCATTGTCAGACTGTGTGTGTAACTGTGTGAAACCACCTCTCCCCACTCTATACTCTTTGTAAACTACTGTCTCTCATCCATAGTCCATCCTCATCTCATATACATACAATCTATAGATACAGATAGAGAACGGATAGAGAGAAAGAGAAAGAGAGTGATGGTCCTAATGGAAAAAAGCCATGGCTCCTCTTTCTCTTCCTTCAAGTCCTATCTCCAAGCGCTTGCAGACACACCAACCCGGTTCGCACGCAGGGCCGGTTCTGTTTCTACTTCTTTCGAAGAAACTAGCCGGGTTAGAGCCCGCTCCGGTCCAGACATGAAGAGGAGTCTCCGGTGGTACGACCTGGTCGGGTTTGGAATCGGCGGGATGGTCGGCGCTGGCGTATTCGTCACCACCGGCCGTGCCAGTCGCCTCTACGCAGGCCCCTCTGTTGTTCTTTCCTACGCCATTGCTGGCCTTTGCGCCCTCCTCTCTGCTTTTTGCTACACTGAGTTCGCCGTCGACATGCCCGTTGCCGGTGGTGCCTTTAGCTATATCCGAGTCACTTTTGGTCCGTTCAACAAATTTCTTCCCATGAAAGAATGATTAGTGATTGTTTCTTAGCTTCAAAGTAATAGCCATATCATTGTGTTGTAATTTTGCAGGTGAATTTTTGGCTTTCATAACCGGTGCAAATCTGATTATAGACTATGTTCTATCAAATGCGGCCGTTGCAAGAAGTTTCACAACCTATTTCGGAACAGCTATTGGTGTTTCAGCTCAAAATCAATGGCGGATCACAATCCCTGTTCTGCCAAAAGGGTTCAATGAAATCGACATAGTAGCTGTGGCCGTGGTTTTAGTCCTCACTGTCATTATCTGTTACAGGTTCGCATTAAACCAAATTGATTTCTCACTTTCAAATGCTTTCTGGGTAATTGATTTGAACTGATTTTGGCTGTTTTCAATCTATTTTTCAGTACAAGAGAGAGTTCGTTGTTGAACATGGTGTTGACAGTGCTGCACATTCTGTTCATAGTGTTCGTGATAGTGATTGGGTTTTGCAAAGGAGATTGGAAGAACTTGACGGAGCCGTCTGACCCGACACACCACCCGGGCGGGTTTTTTCCGTTTGGAGCTTCAGGGGTCTTCAATGGCGCTGCCATGGTTTATCTGAGCTATATTGGGTATGATGCTGTTTCGACAATGGCGGAGGAGGTCAAAAACCCGGTTAAGGATATCCCCGTCGGAGTCTCTGGCTCTGTTATCCTGGTTGCCATTCTTTACTGTTTGATGGCGGCTTCAATGGCCATGATTCTTCCTTATGATGTGGTAATTAGTTAATTAATGCTAATTAACCCCCTCTCGACTCGATTTCGGCCGTAAAATCTTGATCAAACGTTATAAGCATTTGAATTGACCATATTACCCCTGAGTGACTTGTATTAGTTTTTGTAGTTGTGGTGTGCAAAAAATTTTATTACAAGAATTTCACCTTTAAAATTGGCACTATTGCTAATATAATTCTCTTGTAGAAACACTTGTGTGCTCATAAAAGAAAAATTAGAAAGTTTTTTTTTTTTTTTTTTTTTTTCCGATGGCTTGATTATATATGATCGTGATGCAGATGGTAGATGAGGGACATGTTTGTATGTCGTGATATATTGTGAGTCATATTGAAGTTAATTATAAGTATAATTTGAATTTGTAATGGATGATATAAACTGTTTCAAATGGTTAAAATGCAGGGTACTGAAATGTATTTAAATGTGATTTTATGTTTATATGCAAAAGATTAATTTCTTTTCTTGTTTTTGAATTATCACATTATTCTAATAAAAAAATTTATTAAAAATTCTTCCAGATCGACCCAGAAGCACCATTTTCGGGTGCATTTAGAGATGGATCGGACGGTTGGAGGTGGGTGTCGAATGTGATCGGAGTGGGGGCCAGTTTCGGGATCCTAACGTCGCTGTTGGTGTCGATGATGGGGCAGGCCCGATACATGTGTGTGATCGGACGGTCGAGCGTGGTCCCGGCGTGGTTCGCTAAGGTCCACCCCAGGACATCCACGCCTGTGAACGCCTCCGCTTTCCTTGGTACGTTTTAAATCTGTGATCTTGGCTTTTATGTGAATTCATGTGTGTGTGGCCTATGTTTTGTGATCAGTTTGTTTGTTTGGCCGTTGAGGATTGGGACCCACCTAGAACCGTTTCTGTTAGGGCATTTGCTATGATGAGGGTGGCCTCAGATTTTTAGGATGGGGACTCATTAATCTGATCTGATCATTTGTTGGTCACGGTAGGCCCATGGTTGATGGTGGTAGCTGTGCTTAAAGATGATGGATTTAGGAAGAAGGGCCATAGGGATAACATTGTTTGTGAAGCTTATGTTGAAAGTGCAATTTGGGATTTAATAGGGACCTTTATTTGCATGTGGGTTGATATACATTGAGGGATAACTGGTTTGTCTTCACTTTGGTGTCTCTTTCTCTCAACTAGTCCACTAATAAAGGATTTCCACTTACCAATTTGAAAAAAAAAAAAAAAATTGACCCCTCCCTCCCAAATATAGCTTTAATCCTTCTAAAAATAAGGTACAATTGACTAGAGAGAGGTGGCAAACCAATTGGATCTAGTTTGCTTGACCACTACTGATTGATTCTTTGCCAAAAGGTTAAGGGTAAATATTTGCCAAAGTGAATGATTAATGTTTCATGTCCCTTTTACTTTAATCGATTCTCATTAGAAAATAGTGGTGGCAACATAGTCGCATTGTGTTGTTTTCAAGTTGTATCATTCCATATCTAGTATTATTTAACACTAACCTTTTCTGTTTAATCATTTGTGTCATGATTATTCGATACTAATGCGACATTTACTAATCATTTTGTGTTCCAGGAGAAATATATAACCAGTAAATCACCAATTTAGAATTAGAATCCCTTTGTACAACTAAATTAACAACCAATATGTCTCTTGTAAAATAAAATTTTGGTTGATCCACATACTTATCAAACCAAGTAAAACTATCTCTAATTGCGTAGTGATTCATACAATACTAGATCAAGAAATGTAAAAAGGGAACCACAAAATTATACCCTGATATCTACAAATTGAGTTTGTCTTGTCAAAGTCAGGTTGTTTATGTTTGACACAAATTCAATCCATTCATTATTCATGTTATAGCATGTTATGTCATTTTTAGGCTCATTTGAACAACTAGTTAATACTAATTTTCTGATATTTGTGAAATCCATGTTGTGTTGAAAATTGCCTCTCTTACATTGAACCATTTATCAATTCTTCTCTTGCTCTCTCTTTTTATTTTAAGTTAAAAATTTTAAAACTGTATTGTTAGTGAGAATGATTTTTTGCTCCCTGATTTTTAATGTGTTATTAACTTGCAAGCTACCCATTTATGTTATCCAACAATAAAACACTCATCAAATTTGTATCAAATTCTTTTACACAATCAATGTGAATGGTTGGATAAGTCCTATTAACTTCTGCAAAACAATTGTGATTGTACTACTTAATCTACTGCAGGAAACTTGGTCTAGGAATTTGATTCAGGCAGCTTTATTCTATGTTATCACAATTTTTCCCTGATAAAGAAGTGATGTGTAGTAGAACATTGCATTGCATTATGTGTTCATTTTGTTTAGTATAAATAATGCTACCTCATTCAATAAATGAACACAGACTTGGAGGAGTGTCAGACGACAATTTTGCTTAAAAATTGAAAAATTATTTGTTTTAATTTTACAGGATTCAAATGTGGTAAAATGATTGCTGATAATTTAGTGAACTGATTTAGTTCCGGGATTTGGATCCCTTCCAATATCTCATTTCATACACACCCGTAATCCTAAAAATCTCCTAACATAAGTCTAAATGGAACTCCACCGTCTATAAATGTTTAGTGATCTTACATCGAGAGAAATTGAAAAAATATGTATCCCAGGGAATCTAAATTCTAGCTTTAGTGATGTAGTGAGAATCTTTTGAAAGTCTTGGGCGAAACTATGTTGAAATAGAAGGAAAATATCTGAAAAGCCAAACTCTAAGGTAGGTTCACTGCACCTGATGCTTCAACATCATGCTTCATAGAGGCATTCATAATTTGACAATATGATCCATCTGTTTATGTTTAAAGTTGTTATCCTTCATTTTGTTACTTATAGCTTCTCCTTGAGGCATGGTTTATCCCTAATATAGTATATAGACAATCTAAATCATCTGGATCCTGTTAATTATTCAGAATCTACCATATGATAAGAATATGATAAAGATGGAAAGTGGGATGACCAAAAGAATTTTGACAATGCTATATTCAGAATTCTTATTCCTTGTAAATGACCTTTTAAAGATTTGATGATCTAACTTTCAGGATTTTCAAACTATTTACCAAAACTTTCCTGTAAGTTTTTCATTCAAACCAAATTCATGTAAGAAATAGCTTTTCTTTTTTTTTTTTCCTTCTTTCTTTTTCTTTTATCATTTGTCCTTTCCTTCAATCTTTTTCTTTCTAAGAAAATGGATTCTATGGAATTGTTTCCTTTCAATGTCTTGAAAGGGTAGTGACTCAAAGTCTTTGCATTGATTGAACCTTTTATTGACAAGTCAGTGTTTCGTAGTTCTTTTTGTGTAACTATACCAATGGGATCTGATATGATCTAGTTTCTGCTCAAATATCTGGTCCTGTTGAGCTAACATAAGCACTTCCTTCCTCTTTCAGGAATATTCACTGCTGCAATTGCCCTTTTCACTGATCTCAACATCCTCCTCAACCTGGTATCAATCGGCACACTCTTCGTGTTCTACATGGTTGCAAATGCAGTAATCTATAGGCGTTATGTCTCTGTTGGAACCACAAATCCATGGCCCACGTTGTCCTTCCTCTTTTGCTTCTCACTGACATCCATCATGTTCACCCTCGTTTGGCAATTTGCCCCACCGGGCAAGCCAAAGGCCTTCGTGCTTGGTGCCTGCACTGCTATTGCCATTGGTGTTCTCCAACTGTTCCATTATATGGTCCCAAAAGCCAGAAAGCCTGAGTTTTGGGGAGTTCCTCTGATGCCATGGATTCCATCCATCTCAATCTTTCTCAATATATTCTTGCTGGGGTCTCTTGACAGACCATCCTATGTGCGATTCGGATTCTTTTCGGCTCTTGCAGTGCTTGTATATGTTCTATATAGTGTTCATGCTAGCTCTGATGCTGAAGAAGATGGTGCTCTTATTCAAAAGAATGGTGAAATTATGAAGGAATCAAATGAAAGTGAGGACCATAGTCTCAAAGTGTAAAAACCCCTTTTGGTTAACTTTTCTTCTTGTGACTTCTGAACTTTTTTTTTTATCTGTTGATGGATACTTAGAATAGGGGTGAAAAGAAAAGAATAGAACAGAACAGGCTGCAATTTTGCAGTAGCAAGTTGTATAGTTGGTGTCCAGTAGTGGGTTTAGATTGAGATCCCCTGTACATTGTGTCATGTGATCCATCAACTTTTAGGGTTGGGGTGTTTGACATGTAACAATATCTAATGAATGAAAGCATCAAAGTTGAAGAAGAAAGTCGAGAAAGTTAAGTCCTGTTACTTATTGACTATTTAGTACTTGTGGGTGGGTCTCTTATTGCTTGTTTTTCTTTGTCAAAGATACTTTACCTTTTTATGTCATATGCTAAAAGGCTAAACTCTTTCCTTGCCACTAGTTATTTTTTTTTTACCTCCCAAAAAATGTCTTTTGATGTTATTCTCAGCTAGTAGGATGTCAATAAAAGTATGTATGGAGATTTAAAAGTTGATATTGGAATAATTTGAAATCTAAGGGTCTTTTAATATGTTAGAATGTCAACCTTTTTGTTTTTGGTAAAGATGAGGTTACTAAGGAATGGTGTCACAGTTTTATGGCCTAGCAATAAACAAAAATATGCTGGATTGATTTGAAACAAAGACATAATGATCAAATTACCAGATCATTACCACCGAGCGCATAGATCAGTTGGTGAGGGATTGTTCTAACTTAACCAAAGTCTTCGGTTCGAGACTTGGGATTGCAGCTACGTTCGGTAGGGAGAACTTTACCACCCTTGTCGTCCTACCTAGCTCGAATCCGGAGTAGTCGGAACCCGTTGTGGCTTCCAGATACCGGATGGTCTGACCAAAAAAAAATTACCAGATCATCCAACAAAATATGGGAATCAACTGAGTTGGAAATGAAATGCAAGAGGTGGAAGGAAGAATTATGACAGATTACTCATTTAGTATATATTTTTTAAAATTTCTCTCAATGACAACAGATTACCTTTTATGTATTATTGTGGGATCCACATATATAGTAGTTCATACTATAACTTGTGAGGAGTGATTTAAAATTAAAAGAAATTAAAAAAAAGTATAATGAACTCACTCAAAATCCCTTCTAAGCTGGCCATACTTTTGCACTTACAGGCAATCTATTCAGAACAGAGATTAGCTCCTCAACTACCTTTAAAAATTTGATGTAGATGTTTCTGAGTATATCAATTTTTTTTTTCCAGTTTCTTGAACACCTATTCCTCCTGATTCTGATTGCTTATCAAACTTGTGTGTCCTTGGGCTATTCACAGTCATAGCCAATTTCTAATTCTGGTTGGAATAGTTGTTCTCTCTGAGCTGTTGAGTTACAGAAAACCTGCAAAAACAGATGGACCATACCTTATCTTTCTTTATAGCTCAAAGATAGGATTGGGAATATTAACATGACAAAATAAACATGAAGACAAGAGATATGGGCCATTCTGTTGATTCCCATGCCACTTCTCTCTATGGCAAGTGAATCATTTTTGTCTGTTGCATAGTTCCAATTGGCACTATAGTTTGATTTGGATTCTGTGTGCCTATAAGGTCTGGGAAACGTTACTGTCACTGTAAGGTCTAGAGAATGTTAGATGTATGCAGTTATACATAGCAAGCGCCAATGTTGTTTTCGCGACTCGAATTCTTGACATTCAAGTCACAATAGAACAATTTTACTGCTACACTGATACCAATTCCCACCATTAGGTGGGGTGATCTTGTACATATAACAAACAGTAGAAAAAGTTAATTGAACACTGGAGAGGCATTTTTATGGATTTAAAAAGAAAATTATTTTCTTAAGAAAAGAGAGAGAATTCTACATATAGAGTCATTCAAATTTCATTACATGTCTTTGCTTTTAGATAAATATTCAATACAAAGGTAATACAACAACGACACTAAAATGTGGTCTCACAATCCAATAAAAAAACATTGCACAAATTTTAAGTATTAAATCACATACTTATCACTTAATGTAGAAAATATTAGTCAGTAAATATTTTATAAATTTTTCATAATGGACAAATATATTCTCAATATATTTTACACTTTTAATTTATCAATACCCACCACAACCACCACCACCACCACCATTATTGTGTCGTCGCCATTACCATCATTGTGCCTCCGCCACTATTGTTGTGTCGCCGCTACTATTACCATTAGCACCACCATTGTTGTATCACCACGGCCACCACTATCACCACCACCATTGTGATGGTGGTGGTAGGAATAAAATAATTGTTGTAAAAAGAATGATAAAATTAAAATAATAATAATTTTTTGACTTTAGCTATTTATATTTGTCAAATAATTTGATTCAATTCAATATTTAAATTTCACTGAATACCAAACAGTCTGCGAATTAAAAAATTCATTATTCCACACTAAAAATTTAACATTCAGTATTCAGCTTTCAGTTTTATCAAACACTACATGAATAATAAAAAAATGTAACATATTATATAGAACAAAATACAACAATCCTCCCTATTTTATGTGCTCTGTCTCATTTTGATCCATGTGTTTTCATCGGTGTTAATTCAATCACCTAATGTTTTGAATTTGACTCTAAATGATTTCATTGAAAATAATGGTTTGAATTTACTAACAAAAACAGACATGTGTGCTTTATGTGGTTCAATGTAGGCTCACTTTTATTAGCGATTTTAAACCGTAATTATTTATTAGAATTATTTAAAGTTAACTTATAACTACTACATGATACAATAAAAGAATTAGGTATTAAAGTGTTTGTATGTACTTGAAGAACTATTACTATTTTTACCCTATTCCATATTATTATTTTTTAGAAAGATTGGCAATTTTTGTTTTGCTGTCTCGTTTTTCACTTATAGTCAAATTGGTAGGATAGATGAAAAAAAAGAGAAGAAAGAAAGTAGGAGTGATATAGTTTTCATTCTCAAAGGAAAGAAACCTTCCTTTCCTACTTTGTGTTTGGCAAAATAGATGAAAAGTAGGAAGAATGGATTTTTTTTTTTTTTTTTTTGGTGTGGTTGGTATGGATATAAAGTAGAAGGAAAAGAAAAAAAGTACATATGTATATTTTATTATTGTATGTGCATATGGAACTAATAAGTTCATAATATATAATAGATTAGCATAAGGCATATGTATATCAAAGGATAAAAAAAAAATAACATACGTTTTGACATACATATTTAATTTTATTTCTACTTTTTTGCCCACTTTTGGGTGATACAGTTTGGTGATTGGAAGGAAAAGTAATTCCTCCAGTTTTCCTTCCAAACCAATTATAATGTTTTTGTTAGTCACTCCCACTTTTTTCAATTTGTTTTTTAATCCTTTAACTTTTTCTTCATATCAACAGGATCAATGGAAAAAATAGTGGGATTCTGTATGTCATTTATTTATTATAGATTTCTTGGCAAATTGGATGATAAAATAGCTAATTAATGTAGCTAATGTTCCCTGGGCATCTTTGAAAATAAAGGATTATATGCCCTTCAAGTGGAGTTGCAATGGGAGGTATCCATTTCTATAAATTATACATCAAAGTATAAAAGCTAGAAGGAGATTGATGTAAAAATTAATTACAAGATAAAATTATGCTCTTATTCTCCACTTTCTAGTATTATATCTTCTTCTTTTTTTTTTTTGGCTTGGTTCTTATATTATATATATACTATATATTATTACAATAAATTTTGAGAGAGGGTTTGGAAAATCTTCACTCCCCATTTTCTTATTTCTTTGAATTTTTATTTATTTATTTACTTACAATGCAAGATTTTACCAACCATCCCATGTAACAACTCCTCACACTGTCTTAGTTAACTATCACTCATTTAAGTTGTATCATGGAATAGCTTCCCAGTAATTCTTATCTAATGGGGTGGGAAAATGTTAAAAAATTTAGGGAGATCATAAATTTCGTTCATCACGGGAAGCAGCTGCTGGTTCAAGTATAGTGATAAAGATGATTCTACAACTAAAAAGTATCATAGAAACTATGACTAGTTTTGATGCTTTTAATGGGAGATGGATTTGAATCTTATCTTGTATATCTTCCTTTATACTCAATTGCGGGTGCTTGCACACAACACTGGTGTGCGAAATTATAAAATGTTGAGATATGGAGGGAAAGAGAGAGAGAGATACAAGAATGTGAAAAAACTAATATAAATAGAAAGTTTTGGTCATTTTGGATGATTATGATTATGAGCAGTAATATAGATATTTCACAATGAAGAACACAATTTCTTTAAGAAAAATGATCTATGGCTCCGTTTGGTTAGAAAGAAATTGATGATGGAAAATGGAAAAAGTAGAAAGTGAAGTGAAAGAAAGGAAATGGAAAGAAAATTTTATTTTCTTGTATGCGTTTGATTAGAATGAAAAGTTTGCCAAAAAAACAAAATTAAAGACTAAATTATACTTATCATATTAATCGAATGGGGAAAAGGGTAAGTGGGCAAAATCGGAAAAATAAGGCAATTTTCATGGGAAAAAAAATTTCTGCATAATATATAGGAAACCAAAGTAGATGTTTACGGAAAATTTGGACACTTGAGGGAAAAAAAACTTTCTCGAGAAGTTATACTTTCTAACTAATCAAACAAAGAAAATTTTGGTTTTTTTTTTCCTGCACTTTTCGGACAAAGCCTGTGGTAATCTTTATATCTTATTCAAAAGTAGTTGATTGTATAGCTCCAAATTTTAGATACTAATTTTCAGAAGTTTCGATTTTTTCAATACATTTTAATGTACACATGAGAGTCTCTAACTCTCTTTCTCAATTTTCAACTTCCTTAAAAACCAATTTTGACTAAACTCCCAAACACTATGCAAACTCCCCACTATGCTTGATTATCTTTCCTCATCAAGTGCTAGATTCTTATAATATTAAATTATTTAATAACAATGCATTAATCTCATTTCATATAGCTAACATAACTACTCACATATAACTACTTTAAATTTAAAATTTTCATCCTCATTAATTTAGAACAATAATAGGCAATTTTTCACTAATACTAGGGTCAGGGTGAAGATGAGTAGTTGTAACAAGGTTGTGGGGTTGGGAGTAATAGGATTGTGATGAGAGAGATCGAAAATATCGTATATCGTACAGGACACCGTTAATTTCAATGTAATTATATGTATACCCCACATAAAATAGGACATTAACATTTTTGTAAATGAAAACGAAATACCCACACTCTATGA